GGACGGGAGAGGACGCCTGGCCACGCCTTGGATGCGATCAGGCTCATTAGGGCTTAAGGTCGCTACCCCTACCCAGCCCCAAAACGCCAAACTCAAACATACCTCCCTATATAAGCCCTTAGAAGCCCTAAGCCCTAAGCCCTAAACCCCATCTAAACACTACCCAGCCCAAAAGGAGACTAAACATAGGTACATGGTAGAAAAAAGTATACCCAAACTGGACGCGCTTTGCAGCGCATCCAGTCTCACGCACTCGGGCAGTCGCAGATTGCCGACTTAATCCAGCGTCCAAACTCAAAAGATTGTCTTGCGTCATAATTCAAGGCAGAAACAACTCCAAGTGAGAAAAGCGTGGAGCTGTTGCCCTTTAAGGGTTTGGGTACTTTCCGAAACTTTTGGGGGTTTTCAAGCATTGCGCGAGGAGGGGACTTAACTCACATCAGTCCGCGGAATACGCATCACCCCAGTGTAGACGCTCGCGGTGAATTCTACATCAACTGCTAGAAGGCGCATCACAACAGGTGGACGCTGGCTGCGCATCGTTCGCCCTGAGTGATAGCTCAAAATACACCATACCTGGCAGATGCTGATTTTCCGCACTGTCTACACCATTTTTTTCACACAGGCTGCCCAAATTGTGATTCGCAAGTACAAACGCTCTCCGATGAGTATTTCTACCTGGCGTTGCGAGATAAAACGGCTACCCTGTCAGACACACAGGACCTCTTCCCCAAAGAAGTCCTAACATCGGGATCGCTCAAAATTGGGGACCAAGCTAGCCTTAGCATCGTAGTTCTCGGACCCTACTTGCCCCAATCAAACCCTGACCTGCAGCTTCAAAGCCCCACTCACTTGAAGCTCTGAGGCCCTCCAAAAGTGAAATCCTGAACACGCTGTAAGGTGCGCGGGTTATGAAAGTAAATGGGCTTCAGGGCTTCGCGAGCCCGTTCTCGTTGGACGACCAGGGACGTCACGCAGCACACCGTGCATGAGGAGTGGGCTGGCCTGGTCGAAACCCTAAACCCTAAACCCCAAACCCAAAACCCTAAAGGGAGACAACTCATACACTTTTTTCGAATCCGGAGATTTTGGGCTGCGAGCTTCAGATGGCTTCCGGACTCCGGGGTGGTGTAGGATTCTCTCTAGTTATGTGAGTCCGACAACATCCTAGGGCCTAGGGCGAGGGTCGATGAGGCAATATTGCCTTCTGCTCCGCTCCAGAGCGGATATCTGCCTATGCATGGAATGTTGGTGTTTAGGCTTCTAGGGTTCGACTAGGGCGTTTTAACCCAAGCCTATAGCACCGGTCATATCTGGAGGTACCCTAAAGCTAGCTCTTTGAGTCTGACGGTTCTACCCCACAATCACAACTTCTTGTGCCTCTGCAGAGCATCTTTGGCAACGCTGTCTAGCAGCCTCCAGCGGGGGGGGTAGGGGGGCCTTGAGCTGGAGGAATAAGTTCAGAGTTTGCTTGGGTCCCTAAACCCTAAGCCCTAAACCCTTAACCCTAAACCCCAAAAGGGCGTTTTGAGCCTGGGTGTGTTGGTCTTTAGCTGCCCGGAAAAGTCTCCGATGTTTTTGCGGGGTGGCAGTCCTTGAAAGAACTTTCAGAGAGCCGTCCCCCACCTCAACCCTGACAATTGCAGCCCATAGATCTCAGTGCACCTCAAACACAAAAACAAGAAGAATCGGATGCTACTTCTTTGCGACAAGTCAACAGCCAAACTTCAAGGCCCCTGCAACGGACATACTCGGAACTCCGAGGCATCATGTTCTGACACAACTTACTCGGCATACTCGTAGACACTCAACCCTAAACCCTAAACCCTAAACCCTAAACCCCAAACCCTAAACCCTAAACCCTGACTATGGGACTTTCGGGACGCCTCACTTGCTCATCAGGCAGAATCTCAACGGCCACCCGGTTGCTTGGCGCCTCCTGACACAGGTGGCGCGGGCATCCAAGCCATGGCAGCCCTAGCTTATTGGACTCCTCATGTGCGGTTTAGGGTTTAGGGTTTAGGGTTTAGGGTTTAGGGCTTCGGGTTTAGGGTTTAGGGTGGAGAAATTTGGAAGACCACCGAGCAAAACCTGTGATTCACCGGGCCAAGGCATCACACAGCTTGGCTACCTCAAGGTGGGACTCTGGAGGTTTAGGGTTTAGAGTTTAGGGTTTAGGGTTCAAGGGTTCTTGTCTCCTCGTCTCGCTTGCGCTTCCGCGCGCGGAAGAAGGGCTGGGGACAGCAGGCACGTGGGAGAGGAGCAAACTGCTGGTAGTCCGCTGCCACCTGATATCACAGAAAATTCTTTGCAACTGAATATGATACATTCTTTATAAACATATATATATATACATATATATATATATACATATGTAGGTGTAAATACATATATATATATATATATGTATATATGTATATATGTATATATGTATATATATATATATATAGACATATATATTTATATTTATCTTTTGTATATAGTGTGTATGTATATATATATATATATATATATATATCTATATGTATATATATATATATACATATACATATACATATGAATATATACATATGCATTGACCAGCTCCGTATTGTGGGTGCGGCGAACCGTGCACAAAGTTTCCAAGACCCTCAGTTAGGGATTTACCTGAAACTGTCTGTAGCCCAAATGGAGTGCAGATACTGCAGAAACAGAGCATTCAATGCCCTAAACCCTAAACCCTAAACCCCAAGGCCTGGGTGTCAATGTCAAACTGGTAGCAGGCCATGGCTGCAGAGAAGTGCAGAATCCAGACCCCGAGTTGATACTCTCCATTGTGGGGATTCCAGGCCGGGATTATGTATGATACTTGAGGTCTGTTCTGCAGGGGACTGTATACGGGGTAACCTACTTGGGACTGGGACATACCCATATGGTTTTTGGCCGTTGCTCCTACTATGGCTCCCAACCCTGATGGCCCAGTAAACTCAAGACTCAAGGCTCAAGGCTTAGAGGAGTGTCTGAGGGTCCGCAGCCCTTTCACTCAGGACAAAGAAACCACGCCATGAACCAAGAGATTCCTGGCTGCAGTCGGACAACACTATGTCTGACAAAAGCCTCTTGTGTCGGCGTAAGCCCAAACAGGACAGGGTATCATCGCTGATGGGCACCCTGAGAGTATGCCAAGGCCACTCCAAGCACAGCAAGATGACCCGAACAAGGCACTCCACACCTAGCCCAGAATTTAAAGCACAGGAGCAGGAGCATGCGCACGGGTTGCAAAAGCATGCTGTTTGCCATGTCTGGAACAGCTCTTATTGATGTTGGCCCTGACATGCACACGATGTCTATAAGCAAGAGAACCACGAGAACACGAAAACACCAAGAAAACCAGGCAAAAGCGTCCGCCTCCGGAGGACGCAGGGTCCAGCGCGAGGGCCCTCTGTGAACGCCCGCCACTGCGGCCGGCCAGCGATTTGATCACTCTCTTTGCCCCCCCATGTAAACCCAGGCGCAAAAGCACAGCTGGAATTCATATGGAGGTCAGATTCCAGGGTTTAGGGTTTAGGGTTTAATTAGGGTTTAGGGTTTAGGGTTCAGGGATTGGTGGTGGTTCTCTCTTCGTGTTCTCCTTTATGACCCCCTAGGGTGGACAAGGCTGGCCAAGAACTTAGAACGCAGACAGGACGAGCGCAACTCCCCCAAAATGTCACAGCATGATGCTTCCCCATTTCACACACACACACACACACACACTCACCAGTATTTAAAAGGAGCCATATACACACTCACCAATAGGAACTGATGGTGACCGTGCGATACACAAAACTGCAAATCGAAAGAAAACCTCAACCACGCCCACTCACCAGTGACAGCAATATAAACCCTACTTCATGTGAGAGAGCGCGCTTGCTTTTCCGGTATCAGTATCACCTTCTGCAACCTGTACTCAGAAATCAGGCGCCAAGCTGCTGCGATGGCATCTCCTTCTCGAGATTTCCTGGGGACATGCGGGAGTCTTGCCCTGAAGACTTTGGACTGCTCCATCCTACAACCATCGCACGTGTTGAGTTGGGGCCAAGCTCAATCCGCAGTTGCCCTCTAACTTTTTCACAGGAATCCGCGCTGCGTTGCTACCGATTCAGTGGCAATCATCTGCTTGGTCGTTTTCGCCGTCCGAGCAACTTTTTTTGAGGACAATCGGTTGATGGCGGACCAGACTCGGCCAGTTCGGTAATCAGGATCTGGCAGAGAATCCAAGTACAAAACAGCTGTATCATATCGTGTTCTAATTTGGCAATCCTGCTGTGTTCATGAATACAGTGAATGATATGCCTCCCGAGCACGACAAGCAGTCTGCTGACATGTTGCTTCAGGAGTGTCCGCTGCGCAGTGTGCCAGCCAAACTGGCAACCCGAAGCGGACCAAGAACACAAAATTGGGAGGGGAGTGGAGGCATCATCTCCAAGCGAGGCTTCGGAAAAGGCCCCTAACCCTAAACCCTAAACCCTAAACCCTAAACCCTAAACCCTAAACCCTAAACCCTAAACCCTAAAGGTCCCGTTAAACTGCTCTCTGGGCTCGCTTCTCAGGCCCGGGTTCCCAGGATGGGCCCTTTGACACCTAAAGCCCCTTAAAGAGGCCCTTTATAGGGTTCAATTGATTGTGGGGATGATAAGGCCTATATTCTACCCTAAAACCCATTAAAAAAGGCCCCTTTATAGAGCTGGTTATGGGGATGATAAGAAGCCCATCCTGGTCAGAGCTGGGGAAGTCTTAAACTTGCCTGACTCAGCGCCGCCCCAAACTCACCGACGCGGGATGGGCTCGGCGAGGCAACTTCCCAGTCCTGGCAAGGGGAAGGCTTGTGAAAGGTTTAGGGTTTAGGGTTTTAGGGTTCAGGGTTTAGGGTAAGATCAAGAACCAATTTCGAGAAAATTCTGACAGGAGATGTGTCTTGGGCCTATGGCCTAAAGAGCTCTAGCGTACGACATGTTGTGGCAGCAGGCTGCCCAAAGGCCTTATCTGGGCTCGTACAGCCAGACGTCACCGTAGTAGCTTGCTCCCTTCCGGCCGCCCACGACGATCATGGCCTGCAAACTAGTTCGCAGATTGAACGAAGACTGCGTGGGGAAGGTGGGGAGGGGGGGGGGGGCCTTTCCGAAAGACTCCCGCCTTCCTGTTGGACCCCATCTAGCAAGCCTTTGCAACTTAAAATAGAAATCCGGACTCTGCCCAGACCCCAGCATACCCCAGCCGTGACTTGACTTAGCGGTGGCCTCCTCGCTCTCAACCCATGTGGCGCAATGGCCCCAACGCTGCCCTGGTACCGATCCGATGGGTATCACAGTGTTCCACGTCGCATTGTGCCACTCCAAGAGGTCGTTGGCCTCGTCGGACCCGCTGAATCCGCCGAAGACCAGCATTGCCTGGCGCATGGGGTTCCACACCGCCGACGCGTGAGACCGGGTGCCCATCCCGGTCTGCAGCGGCGACCAAGACTTGGCAGCGTGGTCGTAGGCCCAGAAGTCGTCGAGACGGCTGCTGCCAGAATGTCCTCCGTAGACCAGCATCAGGCCCGCGGAGCCCAGGCTCTCAGCGAAGACGGCCGTGTGATATGCTCTGGCACTTGGATTTCCGGAAGTGCTGACTTGTGACCACGTGGAATTTTCGAATTGCCAGACTTCATTCATGTAGGTGAAGCCCTCATTGAGGCCTCCAAACACCAACATGGGGCCAGCAGCGCTGCCGTCCCAAGGTCCGGCCCACACCGACGAATGGCCAGACCTGTGTGGGCCCTCAGAGATCTTCTCAAAGGTGCCATTCCACCTGAAGGTCCAGAGATCTCTGAGAACTTGTGCGCCAGACCACCCGCCATAGATCAGCAGGCTGCCAGCCCACCGGTCGCGAACAGAAGTGTGTCCGGATCTGGGCCCCACGTCCAAACCGCTGACAACACTAAGCTGCCAGCCGGAAGCATTCTTTTCGAAGGTATGCATGGCGTCGAACACCCCTGTCGATGACTCCCCGCCCAAGTGGTAGATTTTGCCTGCTGGGCCTTCTGTGACCGTCGCTCCGAAGACCGCTGGAGCATTGGCCACAGTCAGCTCGGTCCAAACATTCCCCGCATTCCAAACAGCGCAGGGTATGCCTAGGCCCCAGTAAGGAAGGACCAAGAGACACTAGCGCGTTCGCTGCCCTAGAGCACTAATTGGGGTAGAGTGCAGCAACAGTGCTCTGTGCTTTGATGGCTGCCAGTAGCATCAAGACTGTCATGTCACTGCTGCTTCGCGGGGGTTGCGCCGTAGCGCTCAGCAGTCCCAGCAGCAGCAGGCAGTCCCCCCAGCAGCAGCAGCAGCAGCAGCAGCAGCAGCAGCAGCAGCAGCAGCAGCAGCAGCAGCAGCAGCAGCCGCCGCCGCAACCGCCGCCGCCGCCAGAATAGGCGAGCCTGTTGTGATGAAGCGCGGGGAGACTCTGGGGCCCCGGCAGGTGTCGGGCTCGATCTGCGGCGTGCCGGTGTACCAGCTCTTGTCGAAGTACTCCTCCTGCTGCCAGGACGCGTTGCAGGGGTAGTCGGCAACCGGCGACGTGTCACACGTCTGCTTTGTAGCGGGCACGGGGATATCTACGTCGATGCCGGAGGTGTCGACGACGAGGTCCTGGCAGGCCTGCACAGCGGGCTGCGTGAGGTTCGTCTTCAGGACCTGGATGTAGCAAATCACCTTCGTGGCCGCGATGAAGGAGGCCTCACGCCGCGAACCGGAGGTTGCAATGGTGACGAGGAGCTCATGAAAGGTCTCGTTGACGTTCCGGTAGCAGGTATCCATGGCAAGGCAGCTGTCGGTGAGCTGCTGCCGGTACTCACAAAAGTGGCTTTCCAAAGTGGATTGGTTCACCCGGCAGTCCTCGCTGTGGTTGTTCACGGCGTGCAGGCTGTCAAAGTAGGTGTCCCGAAGGCCTGTCACGTTAGCCACGAAAGCTGTGGACCACGACTGCAAGGTGGTCGCGCAGTCAATGATCGCCTGAAGGTGCGCGAGCGTGTGCTCGATTGTTTGCGAGCTATATCCGCTTTGGAAGTTCTGCAGACAGTCCAACACCTCCTGCGGCTGTGATTCGTTGGCTTTGGAGAGGTAGGCGGCCCAAGCGCTGGAGTTCTGCGCCGACAAGGACTGCTCGGTGCTGCGGCAGCTGTCGTGGGAGTCGCTCGTGTCGTTCACCAGGGCGCTCAGGCTGTTGCTCTCCACCTGCCGTGCCGCCAGGTCGGTGTTGCATTGCACGAAGCCCTCGGCGAGGGCCAGAAGCAGCTGCTCGTCGGCAAGGTGCGATGCGTTGATCTGCGAAAGCAGGCTGTCCATCTCCGTGAGCACGATGTCCAGAAGAGTCAGGGTGGTGTTGCTCAGGCCGAAGTCCTCCTGCGTCAAGTTGTAGTTGCTGAGGTTCCTGGACTCCAACTCCACCAGCTTCTGCTTGGCCAAAGCCTCCATGTCCGCGTGGACCTTGTGCACCTCCTCCAGCTTCCTC